GAATAAGCGTACTCTGGAATCCACAAAGCTCGTAGAAATGTAGATGTAGAGGGCTCATGCGCGTAGCGAAGTGCTAAAAGGAACCTTCTAAAAATTACGAAAGACGTCATCTGCAAGCCCCCAGCTCAATTAGAGAGCAGGTTCGATACGCTCAAACGTACCCCCGGGTGGAGTGCACTGGTGCTAAGACGAGGCTTGAAGTGAGGCCATAGAATAAGCGGCCATCGGCGATGAGACGCGCATTTCAACGAAACGGTTACAAGCGTCGCGCTGTATAGCATCTCACGTCTCACGAGTGGAGATAGCGCTTTTGATCTATGTGCTCCTATAAGAGGGTAGCTAAGCCTAGCGCGTAGCGAAGTGCTAAAAGGAACCTAACAAACATTAGAAAAGACGTCACCTGAGACCTCAATTAGAGAGCATGCTCAATACGCTCAAACGTACTCCCGGGTAGAGTGCACTGGTGCTAAGACGAGGCTTGAGTCGAGGTCATAAAATAGGCGAGAACTCACACCAAGCCCATGCGTCCAAATAAAGAATTTAGGAGGGTTACGCACAATGACAAGATCTTGAAAAAAAAAACGTGTAGTAGCAAAGAATAATCAGCTGAGAAAACCACAGAGTTAGTAGCGATTTCGTAGCAAAGCGTAGCAAAATCTACATCAGCTCCCATATCAACGAAATATGCTACGTCTTTCCTAGCAATCAATACACAGAAGAATTCAGGCTTTTCATTTACTGCACGAGACAAAATTAGGCGATTCCTTTACTTCGCTAGTTCTCTGGCCACACATCCAGCACAGTTACCTCCGTGTCGTCGCCTGGGGGAATCTCAAAGCGGCGCGATCCCGCCGGTAGGTGCGCGCCAATACTCCTAGCGAGTGTGCGTAAAGTTTCCGGCAAACACAGAGGAGAAATCTACAGAAAAAAATTCAGGCTTTTCATTTACTGCCAGAGACAAAATGAGGTGATTCCTTCACTTCGCTAGTTCTCTGGCCACACATCCAGCACAGCTACCTCCGTGTCGTCGCCTGGGGGAATCTCAAAGCGGCGCGATCCCGCCATTAGGTGCGCGCCAATACTCCTAGCGAGTGTGCGTAAATGAAGCGATTCCTTCACTTCGCTAGTTCTCTGGCTACACATCCAGCACAGTTACCTCCGTGTCGTCGCCTGGGGGAATCTCAAAGCGGCGCGATCCCGCCGGTAGGTGCGCGACAATACTCCTAGCGAGTGTGCGTTAGTTGCCAGGAAACACAGAGGAGAAAACTTCAAATTATCAGTAATAAATTCCGTTGCTACATCCTTTCCAGCAATCAAAGCACAAGGCAAAATGAGGCAATTCCTTCACTTTGCTAGTTCTCTGGCCAAACATCCAGCACAGCTACCTCCGTGTCGTCGCCTGGGGGAATCTCAAAGCAGCGCGATCCCGCCGGTAGGTGCTTTGCCAATACTCCTAGCGAGTGTGCGTAAATGAGGTGATTCCTTACTTCGCTAGTTTTTTGGCCACACATCCAGCACAGTTACCTCCGTGTCGTCGCCTGGGGGAATCTCAAAGCGGCGCGATCCCGCCGGTAGGTGCGCGCCAATAATCCTAGCGAGTGTGCGTAAATGAGGCGATTCCTTCATTTCGCTAGTTTTTTGGCCGCACATCCAGCACAGTTACCTCCGTGTCGTCGCCTGGGGGAATCTCAAAGCGGCGCGATCCCGCCATTAGGTGCGCGCCAATACTCCTAGCGAGTGTGCGTAAATGAAGCGATTCCTTCACTTCGCTAGTTTTTTGGCCGCACATCCAGCACAGTTACCTGCGTGTCGTCGCCTGGGGGAATCTCAAAGCGGCGCGATCCCGCCGGTAGGTGCGCGCCAATACTCCTAGTGAGTGTGCGTAAATGAGATGATTCCTTCACTTCGCTAGTTCTCTGGCCACACATCCAGCACAGTTACCTCCGTGTCGTCGCCTGGGGGAATCTCAAAGCGGCGCGATCCCGCCGGTAGGTGCGCGCCAATACTCCTAGCGAGTGTGCGTAAAGTTGCCGGAAAACACATAGGAGAAAGCTTCAAATTATCTGTAATATATTGTCTGTAATACATTCCATTTTCATCATAAATGAATATGTTCAAGGCAGGGCACATGCTTTTTTCCGTTAATTTCTTATTTTATGAAGCAAAAATGTTTCTATGAAACTGCTATGAGTCGTTCGTTATCTTCGTAAAGGTTGCATTAAGGGCAGATTTCATCATAAATGAATACAGTATACATGTTTTTTTCCGATAAAACCGTAATTTATTAAGCAATAATATGTTTCTAAGAAGCGGCTACCGGACCGACAACGTACAGTACGTTGAACAGAATGACCTCCTGCCAAGTCGTTCGGCATCTTCGTAAAGGTTGCGTTTGAGGGCAGATGTTACATGCATTATGCAGAATATGCAAAACAATGAATATGAATGCAGATGCTCCTATACAGTAGCTCACAATATGGCAGCTCTTGTATCCAACAGTAAATGTGGCACTTTAGTAAATACTAATAATAATTACAGTACTGATCACTTTAAATATCACATCCCAATTGATATGAATCGATCTACTATCGTGTGGGACACCGAGTCAACGAACGACCCAATGAACTCAGATGTAACTGAGGCTCAAGCGGAGACGTGTGATCGTCAGCCGTTATCGATGCGACGCGCGTCTCACGCGTGCAGATTTGTCTCTTCTGTTTCATACATTTTATATGAAAACGGTTACAAGCGTCGCGAAGTCGCACGTGTCACGTTTCTAAAGACCACTAGTCTGACAGATGCCATTCCACGCGTTACGACGCGCGTCTCATCTGTGAAGCTTGCTTCTTACTAAAAAGCTATTATGATAGCGAGCAAACTCTACAGTAAAACATTGTTTCGTAATATATCAATATGAAACCAGAGAGGTATTAACCTATATTCCAAAAAACTGCTCCGAATCTCGTCAAATATTACTGCGCTCTACATTCCGGGAAAGTAACGTAATTTGAATTCTCTCTCCCAACTCGCACAGGGCAAATCTACTAAACTTTTAACAAAGCTAACTGTGTCAAAGAACAGCAATCAAGCTCCCAATCAAACTCTGTCCGAAAAACTAGCGCAAAGGTTTTCGTACTCATACGGAGTGCCACCCAGGGACTGGTTACTTACGCCATTTTGAAAGCCAATTCATCGAGCGTTCTTCTGTCGATGATTTTTTCTCAAAGACACTTTTCATCAACTTTTTATTGGTCTTAATAAAATAAAAATCAGCTTTCACACGAAATTTCCGATCAGCTGGACTGACTGGAAGACGGACTCGATTTTTTTCTTAATTTCCCAGTAAAATTTATTCAGTTTGATAGTCCAATCATACCTACAAAGTTTTTCGTACACCTTGCCTTACATCCCGCACATGTCATGTAGACGGGGCGGTGATGCGGCGAAGTAAAAACTCAACTATTTTGACAAAACAATCTTATCGACATCCTACATTCAATTATCTTGACAGAATCCTTCATCTTTCACACGTCTCTATCTTACACTTTCACTCGTCATCTACCACGGAGATTCCACTCCTAAATTTACTTTGGCAAAGGTTTCCTACTTCCGTACAACATTAATTTCACACGTGAGTCCGCAATATACGACGGGATTGAAAAACAAATGAATGCAAGCCGAAACATCGGGACTTGCATCGGGATCCAATCAGCGGCGATGATCCCGCCAATTCGCTCGGACGGGATCCGGTATCGATCCCTATTTACCGACACGGAGCATATTGTTGACACGCCATGTTGGACCCGGTAAAGGTCAGTTTACACCGAAATCTACGAGTCGAGATCAAATCTGAATTTGTTTTATATATGCCCCCTTAAATAGCATAGCGCGCTGATGCAAAACGTACCTACCTAATGTCTTGCATGAACTTCAGTCGACAAAACAATTCACTATTGCAAATAATAACAAGATATATTGTAGTGAGAACGTGCCTGTTTTATGGGTACCCAGGGGCAGGCCTAATTCCAGCAATGGACTCTCTCTTTCTCTTTCTCTTCATGTGGGACACCGAGTCATCCAACGACCCGAGCAGTGGACTGCCATAGATTGATAAAGTGTCCTTGTAAATTTTATTTTAATGACAAAAGAAAGCGATCACGGTAAATAGCAAAACTCTGCACAAAATTTGAAGCAGCCTTAGCTACCTCTGTTTTTCAATAAAAATTGCTACCACGATAAATTGGTAAATATGAGATCTGTAACTCAGTCTAGAATTAGTAGTTCAATCGCGGTGCATGCAATAAATATTTCAAATTGAAATTGTTTGCATATCAGTGTGAGTGGCCCTAAATACCAACAACAAATACATTAAATGAATGATTAATTAGCATTTTATGCGTGCGTGCAATCACCTAAGCCTACCTCGTCAGGTAATAGGTAATAACAAGTCCAAGGGTTTTTTACACTCATGCGGTAACATTCATTCATCATAATCTCCTCTCAAATCTTCCACAAATCCTCTGCAAATCTCGTCACAACTTTCGCAAACAAAACTTACAGCAGAGACTCGTTGCGATGCGGAGCACGCGTCAAGTCGACCCCAGTTCAAGTGCTGTTTTAATGTGTCTTTTAATCCCACCTACAGTCTGAGACAGGTGCATGAGATTTAAGAACAAAAGCAGTACTTAAAATAAAAGCTTCTGGAAATGAAACTTCATATTCATATTTCTATAAGCAATGTGGTGTCGGCATAGAATAGCATCACTCCATATCTTAACCGTGGGTGTCGTAAGAAACAACTAAGGGAGAGTTGATCTCTATCACAATTTTAGGCGACAGGCTCACATTCTGTCACTATGATGATACACAGTTTTCTGAATGACTCTTCAAACTTTTGTCAGACGTAGTGAAATTTACCGTTTTAACAGCTCTGCCTAGGGTTCCGTTTTCACCTTATGGATACAGCACCCTAAATGAAAATAGGAAATAGAAAAAAAACATGCATCGACCGGGACTCGAACCTAGGCCGCATGGGTCAACGCCCCATTAATCTGCCACTGAGATATCGACGCACTAGTCGACCATCTATGCATGATTTTTTTTTCAATTTATTATTTTCATTTATAAGAATAATATAGCACTGTGAGTGCATTAAAAATCCCAATAGATGCTAAATATTATCTCTAAAATCACCAATGAACTTTCACTTCCATTTGCGAGAGATTACACTAACCACCTCCAAACAAACTGAGCTGCATTTTCAACTCGTACCGGCGCTTACGACTGAAGCTAAAAGCAAAACTAAATAAAACTTTCGTTACGACCTCATCGCTACCTTTTTCTCTTTTGGGCTAATAGTTCAGTGTATACATTTTGGAAGGACTTACAAAACCAGTACTTATGAATGTATGATAAATATTTGTAACACAGTAATTATGATCATTATTACATCGCCTTATGTCTATCTAATCCTGAAGGATTTTTATCTATAATTGCCTCCAACTATTAGAGACGACTCCATATACCCTGGAGTATATTTTTAAACCACTGCCTACTGCCACTCGTATTATTAAGAGCCCTGACATAGTGTAGATAGTATGTACAAAACACACATTATTATCTATGTGTTCATGGTTTTTATCCGAAACATAGCCTTTTTGCGATAGATTGTAATGGTAAAATTGTATTGGAACACGGTGGAACTGAATGAACAGAGTAGATTTGGTCAGCTTACAGTGTTACAAATACGGCTTTATTGCTTTCGACGTGAAGGTAATTTAGAAAATGGTCCATTGACATTGTCGTTCTATGTGATCAAATCTAGAATAAAACAAGTACACAAACAGATGCATCACACTTTTAACCCTCGTGGGGAAGGCAGAGCGCAAACAGGCATAAAAATAACGGTCTTTATTATCGCTATTTCTGACAATCGGTAATGTATCAATAATACTAACTGTGATATAACGTAGCATCAGGTTGTCAACCCAGTCAGCCTAAAATTTTAAACCTAAAAAGAAACCTCGATTTCTTCGTATTTTATATATTACAATACAGAGACATAATATATTTTTATCGAATTATTAGGAAATAATGGGGTTAACCTTTACAATAGAAATATAATTGGACCATTAACAGTTCTGCGAATTTTCTCAAATTAGGTACATCGGTATAAAAAAAGTAAGGTATCTTTTTAAAATAATAATTTACTCTTCTCCGAAGAACGCAAAAACTGTCCTTGGGCAAAGATCGAGATCAGAAAGGCTCCCCACTTAGGGCCTATTGTTCGCAGAGATTAATTTGTACCTCGCTCTCCTCTTGTGGAGAAAGGGCCTTTTCTCTGTAGTACGCTTTCAGGTGCTTTTCATTGCTCTTCTAAGGTACAAACAACAATCATGATATTTAGCAACAAAGGGATAAATTCATCCTTGATATAAGTAGCAGCGTTAACTATGAATGCATTGTCTTGCACTTCACTCGCCAATACAAATGCCAAGCGTGGTAAGTATGGCAACAACTTCCGGCAGAGATAGACTTAGGTATTACTATCATAGATGTAATGCTGGTATTTACACTACCTATTTCATACAATGTTTGTTGGGTCGTTTGAAGCCTACGAAGAAAGACATTTACTTTACTGATGTTTCGACGATTGTAAGTTAAACAAACTTGAAAATCACTTCAAGTAAACGCAGTAATTTTTTGTAAGTAAACGTAGCAATGTACAGCATGATTCCGTATCACACAAAAGCTGAGTGAAAATAGAGCCATAGAGGGGTCAGAAAAATGGCGGAAACCGGCCGCCTGTCATCTTCGTAATATAGTGGGAATGTTATTAAAAGATACGAGGTTGGGAGCAAATGGGAATGCTGTGTCAAACGATATTAATATGAAAGGAATGATCCCGACGCAATAAACCTTATGAATCGAGAGGAGAGACAAGGTCTTAATTTGTGTAATTCGTTTTTGTTTTAATCAACTTTGAAAAAGTAAGAACAGATATATAACATGCTAAAGAATTGTGTAGTTGTCATACAAATTCTTAATTTTTGTTGCAAAATTGTTCTACTATGTCCTTGATTTCTATTTATGTATCACCTTGCGTCGACAATCGCGAGTAAAAATTGTCTACAATAGCTTTTGTGTTTTATTAATGCAACAATATACCGGGAGTAACGGAAAGGGCATAACAAGCCGAAAGAAGGTCAAGTTTTCATGAAACTGAACAACTTTCCCCATGGAACATGGGCCGAAATATGAAAAGAAAATTTGGGCCTCCCATAGTAAATGGTCGGCGATTTTGTATGGGAGGTCCAAAGGTTTTGTATGGTTGTTTGTATGGGAGGCTTTTTTCATATTTCGACCCATGTTCCATGGGGAAAGTTGTTCAGTCTCATGAAAACCTTGACCTCCTTTCGGCTTGTTATACCCTTTCTGTTACTTTTGGTTTATATCCTTTACTTTAAAAAAGTCAGAAATAAACAATGAATCCTACAAAATTTTCGCTATTTCAGTTCACAAGGCGGTGGAACTTGCTTAATTTGAATTGCTGAAATAATAATAAACGAGCTGCGAAAATCTTGATAAGAGATACGAAGTTGTAAATTCCGGAGCGCAGACAGAAAGTCTGGTTCCCGTTATTGGTAAAACAAACAAACACAAAGTTTCGTCGGAATATTCTCATCGCTGTTGACTTGGTATGAATAATTGAAACGAGGATACAGGAACGGTAGGTAAAGAAAATAATTTGTGATCTTGCTTTAGACAACTATTTTTCATCGTAATAAAAATTATTTTAGAATTTAAGTTTAACTAGGTAGAAATGATTATGTTTTTGGGAAATAGGTATATTGAAATTGAAACTGTTGTCCTACTAGCATACCTAGTGAATGAAATGGCTCAAAGTGTTCAGATGATCATATAAAGTCTAACGTTGCCCTCAACTACCGTGGTACAGCATATGTACCAGTGATTTTGATCCTTACTACCCTCAACTTAAAGTTCACAGCCTATACTATAGCTGGTATACAAGGGGAAAAAGTAAAATTGAACTCTGCCTAAACTGGAAACTAACATGCACAAGCAAAGCCAAGACAGTTACAATTATAGAGTAAGGCGGAGGCAGCCAAGTTGTAATCGTCTTCGAATGTGTCACGTAGAGGATCGGAGTCAAACCAGAGTTAATAACTGGCAAGTGTCGGGCTACGTGCTGCGTTAGAGGCATACCACGCGTCTGTTTGGGTGTGATTGTTCTAAAATTGAACTTATTCAATCTTTACTGATAGCTAACTTATGCATTAAATAATTCTCAAGTAACTGATATCTTGAATGTTAAAAAGAACAACTACCATGCACAAGCAAAGCCAAGACAGTTACAATTATAGAGTAAGGCGGAGGCAGCCAAGTTGTAATCGTCTTCGAATGTGTCACGTACAGCGCCGGAGTCAAACCAGAGTTAAAAACTGGCAAGTGTCGGTGCTACGTGCTGTGTTGGAGGCATACCGCGCGTCTGTTTCGGTGTGATTGTTCTACAATTGAACCTAGCTTATTCAATTCATACTGATATAAGCTGACTTATGCAAATGATTCTGAAGTAACCAAGAAGTAAAATGTTAACAAGGAACTTTTATGCATGAATAGAACAACTACCAGTTACAATTAGAGAGTAAGGCGGAGGCAGCCAAGTTGTAATCGTCTTCAAATGTGTCACGTACAGCGCCGGAGTCAAACCGGAGTTAATAACTGGCAAGTGTCGGTGCTACGTGCTGTGTTGGAGGCATACCGCGCGTCTGTTTCGGTGTGATTGTTCTACAATTGAACCTAGCTTATTCAATTCATACTGATATAAGCTGACTTATGCAAATGATTCTGAAGTAACCAAGAAGTAAAATGTTAACAAGGAACTTTTATGCATGAATAGAACAACTACCAGTTACAATTAGAGAGTAAGGCGGAGGCAGCCAAGTTGTAATCGTCTTCGAATGTGTCACGTACGGGACCGGAGTCAAACCGGAGTTAATAACTGGCAAGCGTCGGTGCTACGTGCTGTGTTGGAGGCATACCACGCGTCGGTTTGGGCGTGATTGTTTTAAAATTGAACAATACTTATTCAATTCATTCTAATATAAGCTGATTTATGCAAATGATTCTGAAGTAACCAAGAAGTAAAATGTTAACAAGGAACTTTTATGCATGAATAGAACAACTACCAGTTACAATTAGAGAGTAAGGCGGAGGCAGCCAAGTTGTAATCGTCTTCGAATGTGTCACGTACGGGACCGGAGTCAAACCGGAGTTAATAACTGGCAAGTGTCGGTGCTACGTGCTGTGTTGGAGGCATACCAGGCGCCTGTTTGAGTGTGATTGTTCTAAAATTGAACCTAGCTTATTCAATTCATACTGATATAAGCTGACTTATGCAAATGATTCAGATATAACTCATATGTAATACTATGTAAGCTTAAACTTACTATGTAAGCAGTTTTACACGCTGCAACTCGCTTTTCGGTGGAAAAAAAAGCATTTTCCCGGCATTTGTTATACATATAAACATTTATTACAAACCGCATCAAAATCCGTGGCGTGGTTTAGAAGGAGTTAGGGAATTATAGGAGAGACAGACAGTCTTTTACACGATGAGAAGCTTAGCTTTACTGATTTAAGTTATTTCGTAATTATTTTTGACACTTTCAAAGCGAAGACTAATGAATTCTAATCACAGTATTTAAGTATATTTTAAGCACATCAAAATATAGATTTAATTAAAATTGCGAGCCATGTCATCAACCCAATCAAACTAACTTTCTACATAATATAATAACATGGATGAAAAGTAATCACAATTATCTTGTGCGTAGTCAGGGCAAAGTTATAAATGTTAGAATGTTTTTGGAACGAGGGACGAAACTAAAGCGTTATCTAATTAGTATCATATATCATTAGACGTGCTATGATTATGACTTTATAGCAGTTGCAAAGATAAGGGCTGCATAAAATCTATGAATAGTAGACTAATAGATGATTATAAACAATATCTCAGACTCTCAATTGAAAAAACTAGGTTCTAAAACCA